GCCGACCACTTTTGTCGACCAAAAAAATTTTGGTCCCAAAAAAATGTCAGTTGCCGACCAAATTAAAATTTCGTAGCTAAATTTTTTTTCTATTACTGACCAAAATTTTTTTGTTGCAAATAAGTAATTTTTTGCGACCAAATTACAATTTTTGTTGCCAAAAATCTGGGCATGAGAATAAAATCTGGGCAGAAGCTGTATGACTTTTCAGCGACTAATATAATTTGGTCGCTGTTTTGGTATCTAAATTCGCATACAGACATTAGCCGACCAATAGGTTGGTAGGGGATAACTGTACTAATTCAAACACATAAATCATAAATACGCGCCTCTTTCTTACCTCAGCCGAATTCGATCAAAGCTCAGTTGCGCCAATCACCTCACCTTACCATCGACCTTGCCGTCCGTCTGCGCCTCCGTTCGTCTGCGCCGTCGTCCGTCTTTTCCATTTCTAATTCGTCTTCACCATTTCTGATTCATCTAGGTATTTTTTTTTCAACTTATAATAGTTTCTCTCTGTTTATATCTTTGTGTCTCACTTTTTCTCTTTGATTTCTCATACTCGTCTTGTTCTACAATGTCTCACCCACTAGGGTCCTCCCCATCGCGATTTTCGGTGCATCTTCGACTCTCCCTAAAAACAATTTCAAATATAAATCCTCTGTATCACTCTCATGAACTCAGTCTCTGCCTGTGTCTTCCTCTCACTGTCAATGCTTGTGTTGATGTTTGCTACTGGGATATGTCGATTATAAGATTTCGTTCTGTTGTTTGTGAAGTCCCCCAATCTGTGATGTTCTTGTAGTGTTTTATTTCTCCTCTTTCTTTAAGTATCCCTTTTTATATTGGGAAATATACTTAATGAGAATAAAAAATTTTTGGGCGCTTTTGTAAGTTATTTTTAATTTGATTCCCAAACAAGTTAGTTGGTTAATAGGATTTGTTCATGAGATTTTTTAAGTACCCTCAAATGAGCCACAAGCTCTACAAGGACTTACCCTATATACCATCCTTTAGAAGTTGGAGTTGAATTTTTAAGAAGAGACTTAAAAATTAAAAAATAAATGAAAAAAGAGAGTGAATCTATGTACACAGAAAAATTATGGGTTATATACAGGGTAGCACATCTTCCATTAATCACAAATAGCCATTTATGTTGCCTCTCAAATACCATAATAAATATGAAAGATTCTATCAATCCCTAAACCAATTACAATATCCTAAACCAATTAAAATATAATAAAAAAAATAAAAAAATAAGTTAACACCGTGACAATGCCCTCTTAGGTATGCAATTATTGTTCATCTCTATGCTATTTACGTAAGGTAAACAAAAGATATATCAAATTCTTTTCTATAAGAATTGAACCTGCAAACTTCACATTACCAAGTAGTACCATACAACCACTAGACTAAAAGCCCTAATTATGTTATAGACCTTGCCTAAGTGGGATTTATGTGGGGTTAAGGGAAAAAAAATAAAGTAGTAGAATTTTTAATCCGAGTTTATATGCTAGGGGAGCATCTCTCCTAATTTTTTTTTCTTAATCACTAAAGAAAATTTTTATTGATGAAGAAATCATATATTACATATGAGTTTACATCAATAAGGATGAAAAGGAAAAAAAAGAGGGGAGAGGGAGGAGGGGGAGGGGGAGGGAACAAAGCATGATGTTGGTGAGAAACCAACTCTAGCTTAAGCCAACACTTGGGGCCACCCAAAGACTAGTTTTACAATTGCTTATAACCCACAACAATACTTAACTTTAAATCCTCCACACTTACCACACTATTGCCAACAGAAGAGTTTTACACAATCTTGTCCTATTCTCTTGTCTCAAATTCTATATCGTACCGCACAATAAATATTTTTAACATGATTGTGTAGTGGAGAGTTGATCTAGTATAAAGAGGAAGAGATGATTTGGACGTAGGATTGCCATTTGTTTATTCAGCAATCAGATGGAAAAATTTATTAAGTGTTATTTTATTCATTTATCAATTTATGCTTTTATGTCATCTTATGAAACACCAACAAAAAAAATTAATAAATCTTACTATTTAAACAAATAAATATTTAATTTAACCACCACATAAATTTGTTCAATAATTTTTCAGCACTCAAAGGTGTTGACTTCTGTAGAGTCGATTAATTACTTTAGAGTTTAGGGCACCAAACCGAATAGAGATTTGGTTGCTTGTCCGTAAAGTGCACAATAGAAGACAGAGGTATGTGGAAAGAAACCTTAATTTTTATTTTTTGATTCAAAGGAAAGAAACCTTAGTGGCCAAGGTTAAGACAAGAAGAAATTTATTGAGCTTAGTGGCCAGGTTTGGTTCAAAGGAAAGAAACCTTAGTTTTTGTTGGCCATATTTTAATATTTTATTTTACAAAGTATATGTGTTACACATGTTTATGGATGCTTGTGGCCAGGTATTGGTCTCTTCTTTTTATTATTGTTTTTATTAGGAGTTTTGTTTTAACGAAAATATTTATGTACCTTTAATGTGAAGTTGGGTCGAATACATGTGTGCAAGGATGGACTTGTGGAATAAATTTATTGAGCAATAAATCAAATACTGTAGAGTAGCTCCTTTATCTTTTGGATCATCTAGTTTGTTTATTTTGCTTTTAGTTCAAATATATAGTGTTTATCTGTAAGGATGTTAGCAAGTTCTAAAATTCCAAAATTTTTACTTAGTGTCTTATGGATATCAAAGATCTGAATTAGCTCCAACACTTTTTATTCATTCAGTTGTCATGTACCAGTTGATTATTTTACAAAATTTTCTATCATGAGAAGTTGATCATTTCACAATCTCTCATTTTACACTAGTGTGTGCATTTTTCCATATAGGGTAGTAACTTTGATGGTGGTATTTTTGTTTTTTGTTTTTTTTTTCAATTGGCAGGTGATTATTTATATTGATGAAGATAATTATGTTAAATTGAACAATCATAATTTATAAATAATAGAGCAAAAATAATCAATCTTTGTCTTTGGCATAAATTGACTCCCTAACCTTGTAATTAGAAGTATGTAAAAATTGTCAACTAAGCTAATACACTTGATTAACTGTCATAGTGACTTAAACATGTTAAAAGTCACAAGGGCATATTAGTTATTTTGAGGAAAGCAATGCCAATGGTCCATTTGGGCACACCAGGAAAAGTGTAGGTTGTGAAAGCAAATAAACCACAAACACTTGTGTAAAAAGAGATTGGTATCGTCATAGACTCATTTTCCAGAGGCACAACAAAGAAAATGCAATGTTCCAAAGAAAGACTTGGTAGTGTGTTGTACAATGTTTCCAGCTCCTTCCTCCTCCTCTTCCTCTTCTCCTACTTCACCTCCATTTTTCTTGCCAAACTCTTCCACTATTGTGGCAGTTCAATCTTCCACTATTCTGTGCTGCTGATCTGTTTCCCCTGCTGTAGTGTTGCTCTGCTATGTTGATCCAAAAAAGAAAAGAAAAAAAAATTCAGATTATTGCTGCGACTACTAGTCTGTTAAAAAGAAGGTCTGAGGGTTGAAGCTGTTAGTCCTGCTAATAGTCCGCTAGTCTGCTAATAGTGTTGCTGATCTGTTAGTCTGCCAATAGTCTTGGAATTAGTCTTCCATTGAGTGTAGCTGGCTGCTTTTGTTGGGCTACTTGAACTAAAGACCTCCAAACATTAAAGGAGTATAGTCTAATTATATGAAGTTGATGAGATATGTTGTATGTTTTCCAAATTAATAGTGTAATTTATTTATTTAGAGGTCGGGGTAGAAAGATCAAAATTTAATAGTGTTTTTTTTTTTTTTTTTTTTTTTGTGTGTGTGTGTGTGTATGTAAATGAAAAAGATCCAAACTTTGAAATTGCTACTGAGGTTCCAGTTTCTGATAAGTGTGAATGCTTAAAATCAAAGTTTTTAAAGGCGAATGCGTAATGTGAGGCATTTTACCTCTCATGAGGCAAGGCGTTAGCCTTAAGGCATCGAGGCATAAGCATTTCAAATTCTGAATTTTTATATTTAGTAAATGTTTTAAAACAATAAATAAATACATCAAAATTAAATATAAAGGTGTAAATACTTTTATGCTCAAGGTTTAGTGCAAGAAGAAAGTTTTGCTTTATTGAAATTGATACTCTCAGTTTTAGTGATTGAGCTTCTCACTGAGGATTAATTTTGTGTTTTTTCTTCATTGGTAATTTATTTAATTTTTCCTATAGAATATAGTGGTAAAAGGGGTACTTTTTTCTATTTTATGTTTAAACCATCTACTAAAGTAAGTTTAACAAGACCCTAAAACAAACTTCATATGTGTACTCCTCACATGCTTATGCATAAAAGGTGTACAAGACGCACCTAAGACGCATGTCTCAGACTATGTGTGCAAGCCTTTGGGGAGTAGAGCCTAAAAATCAAAACCTTGAAGCATTTTGCCTTGGCCTTGCCTCGAGGCGAGCCTTAGTAAAGCCTTTTAAAACTTTAATTAAAATTGCAAAAGGTGCTTCCTTAAGTTTCCTGAAATGACCTGCTTCTGGGAAATTTTTTGAAACACGTGCTGATTTCCCTCCCACCCCTGGCATCATTTCGCCTTATTTTCAAACAGACCCTTAAAGTTTGCATTGAATTCTGTAATTTAGAGACAGACCTAATATTTTGATGTTGCTTGAAGTTGAAGCAAGCAAATAACTTTAAATTAAGAACCAGTGTACATTCTCAAATTTTGCTTTCATAAACTTCAATTCAGAAATTATTTATAAAAAAAAATTTAAAAAAACTTCAATTCAGAAATTAATTCTTGACAGCTAAATAGAGCCTTAAAAAAAGTTCAGGGCTCACTTTGATTTGTCAACTCTAATTTCATGACAGATTTCAGTTGTTAAAAGGCTCTTAATATTTGATGGCAACCAGATTAGGGACCTCTTGGCTTTCTTGACATTTGAACTCCATCTTTTTAGAGATCTTTTTATATTTTCTTCCAACTTTCAGTTTACCAGTGTGTTGTAAATGTTTTTTATGATTTTCATTTCCATCGCTTTAAGAGACCTTGGGTTTTGCACTGCAGGTCGAAATATTGAAAATCTTGTAATGCATAGTGTGCTTAGCTTTATTGGCAAAGTAAATGTAAGGTATGTGATAGATTATCCTCTATGTTTATTAGTGCTGTGATTTTGTATTTATCATCTTCCTGATTTTATTTAATTTTCTTATAAATTTTTGGCTAGTCCCAATACATATCTCCTACACCAAGAGCTGCTTAACTTCATGCTCGTAGCCATGCCAACTCAGCTTCTTTCTGGGCCATCACCAGGACCCAAGGATATTCACCCATTCATTGATATGGCAATGGTCCAGGTGACAAGAACTTTTGACTTTTTTTAGCTCGTCCAAAATCTGCAGTTCTTTTAACGGGTATTGCTGTTCTGTCAATTTGCTATTACATTTTCAGGAAAGCTCTTTTGTTGGTTTGGTTGTTCACAAACTGCTACTTAATTACATCATGCGACCTCACTTCGCCTTAAATATTACATCTTATGACATGTTTTCTGAAGGAAATCAGCTTGGTGTTTTACAGAGAGTTGGTTCTGCAGCTGGTATGGTGGTTTATTTGATAATGCTCATTTTTTACAAGTAGTCAGCTGGTATGGTTTTATTCTGTTAATATGCAGTATGCATCATAGCTATGCCATTTGTCATCAAAATAGCATAGTGTTGTTTAGAGTCATTTGGATGCAATGTTTCATAAATTTCACTAGATTGTTGTTGTTTGTTTCTAGTTTTTTTCCCCTTTTACCATTGGAGTCTTTTTCTTCTGTTTATTTATTATTTTGACTTATTTTACTGACAGAAGTTTGTGAATTTTATGATTGTCTTGCAGTAAGTTTTGTGCTATCGCCATTTAATTTCTTTATCAGTTCAAGTGGTGAAGCTACCAAAAGGCCTTTGGCAGACAGCAGTCTTCATGTGTTACTTATTCTTATTTATTATCATAAATGTGTTATGGAGGAGACTCTAAAAGATAAAAGCGATGACAGTGCCACTTCAGATTTTCTTCTCAAAGAAAATACATATTTTTCTGAAAACTCTTATTGCAAGGCCTTAGAGAATGTTAGGGATATTGAATTGAAGGTTCTCAAAATTGTAATCGTTTGATTGTTATGGGGCTTATTTTGTGCACTGCTAAGTAAACCAGTCCACTACTTGCAGTTGATCGCGTTGATATTGAGGGGAATGCACACTATGGTCCACTTGTGAGATTACCTTTTGCTTCCCTCTTTAATACTCTTGGCATGTGAGTATCTGTATTACGATTATTTTAGTATATGAAAAAATAGATCCAAAATCTAAATGCTAGAGTTTTAATTTGGTTGCTTACCTTTTTAATCCTTTGTTGGCATCCTTGGATTACATTCACAGATTTTCTTTTCTTTCTTTGATAAACTAGATTAGAATCTTGGTTGTAATTCAAGTTACAGATTCCTTAATAGAATCCTCTTGTTCTGTGCCTGTTGGTGCAAGTAATGCAAGTAATATGATACTGTGATGTCCTGTGGGGCCCCATAGTATTACTAATGTTAAGCATATTGTAGTTACGGATAATATGTATGAGACCATGTTAGCTTTAAATGTTTTTGAAATGTCTTTTTTAGGCTCCATATTGCCTCATGCACTATATTAATCATTTCCCCCTTTAATTCTTTCTTGACGATTGCTAAGAGTGTTTTTTTTATTAACTGAGGTTGGTCTTTGAGCAGCATGACCTGACCTATCTCATCCATCTAAAAGAAATGAAAATGAAAAAACGTAGAAAATGCTATTGCTCTATTCTCTCTCATACAAAGTTTTAAAACGCATTATCGAGGCTTGCCTTGAGGCTTTATTTTTAGGCGACACTCCTCAAAGGCTTGTGCATATGGAGATCTTGATCTTGGATTGTTGTTAAACTTAGTCTAATACATTATTTAAACATAAAAAGAACTCCTTTTGTAACTATATTCATGAGAAAAAACATGTAAATTATTGACCAAGAAAAAACACAAATCTAAGGCTTGAAAACTAAAGCTAAGAATGTTAATTTCACGTGTAAAGAGTGCAAGCTTCCTTCTCTGGAGTGAAATGTTTGATGCTTTGAGAAAATGTATTTGCACTTTTATATTTAATTTACAATATTTTAACATATTTTAGTTGTTTACTAAATATAAAAATTCAAAATGTTTACGCCTTGAGGCTTATACCTTGCGTCACATGGGGTAAAGTGCCTAGCATAATGCATTCACCGTTAAAAACTTTATGTGCATATAATCAAATTGTATTATCTATTTGTTTATCCTTTAAGTAAATTTATTGGTTTTGTGACTACTGTCTCCTCAGGTACTTGGCTGATGAAACTGCTATCTTACTGCTTTACTCATTAGTGCATGGGAACTCAGGTTTTCTGGAGTATGTCTTGGTGCGAACAGATTTGGATACACTGGCATGGAGTGGCAGCTATCATTTCCATCTTATTTGTATTTAGTTAGCCCACCTATTGTTGTGTGGTAACCTTGGCAAGAGATAAAATAAAATTTTTAGAAAAAAAGTAAAAAAAAAAGAATAATGGTTATTACTTGTCAGATAAGTGATGTTATGGACATAATTTACAAAATTTTGTGTACAATGGTAACTACAAAATCTTATGAGCAGTCATCATTTTTAGTAGTTTACGTAACATAAATGCCACATATCCTAATTTGATTTGCATTATGCAATGAAATCAACAGTTGATGCCCATGCTGGCAACACTGTATAATGCTTCAAAAGGGACATCCAATCAAATCTACATGGTGCTGATTATTCTGCTAATACTTAGTCAAGATTCCTCTTTTAATGCCAGTATTCACAAGCTGGTGAGCACTGCCTCTTTAGGCTATCATTTAACTGTGTTGGAAATCAAGCTATTGTTAATATAATAATACCAGCTGCATGCTTATATCATTAATATATATTTAATATATATATTAGTTAGTGCTTCTCCATCAGATGCTTAGTTGTATAGGTAGTACCTTCTCATCAGATGCTTCGCTTTCAGCTGCTTTTTATTTCTATATGTTTTCTTTCATGCTGTAGTATCATAATGATGTTGTATCAGCTCTCCTATATAATGGAGCCTTCTCTTCAGGTTTAATACACATTTTTGAATTACAGAGCGTATTAGCTCTTTCAATCACTCTCTCAATATTTCTTTCATGGTATCAGAGCAGGTGTAATCCTGTCTCATCATTTCGCCTCTTCAGTCAGTATTCGAGTTTTCTGTTTTAAATTTTTTTTTGTCTCTCTCTTCTACTCAAATATATCCTTCTATTTCATGCCTAAATACGGTCCAGCTTTTGGAATGGCTATCGACTCATCCTCCTCTTCTTCTGATATTATCATCTCATCATCTTTATCCTCTCATCAAATGGAAACCTCTCATCTTCCGATCACCGCCCATAAACTGAATGGGCAAAATTATTTGCAATGGTCTCAATCCATATTAATGTTTATACGGGGAAAGGAGAAAGACGACTACATCACCGGAGCCTCAGCACTACCAGAAACCACAGCATCAACCTACAAAAGGTGGATAGCTGAAAATAACATGGTCATGTCGTGGCTCGTCAACTCTATGACCACTGACATTGGCGAAAATTTTCTGTCATTTGATATTGCCAAAGAGATCTGGGACATGGCAAAAGAAACGTTTTCAAACAAGGAAAACACATCTGAAATCATCTAGCTTGAAAGCTCCCTCCACGATTTACGTGAAGACAATCTTACGGTAACTGAATATTTCAATACCCTTACTCGTCTATGGCGTCAACTTGATACGTTTGAGGTTCATAACTGGCAGTATGTTGCTGATGGTTTGTTGTATAAAATGATTGTCAAAGGGAAGCGTGTGTTTACATTCTTGTTAGGATTGAACACAAATCTTGATGAAATCAGAGGAAGAATTATGGGAGTAAAACCGCTACCTAGCCTTAGAGAGGCATTCTCTGAAGTCCGTCGCGAAGAAAGTCGGAAAAAACTCATGATGGGATCCCATCAACAACTGAATATGGTAGAAAGCTCGGCTCTTAAGACTCAATTGGCTCCTATTGACAACCGTCAGAAAAATAAAGGAGGTAGGCCTTGGTGTGATCATTGCAGAAAGCCGGGTCACTCGAGAGAAACTTGCTGGAAGATTCATGGAAAGCCAGCAGATTGGAAGCCACGTCAGCCTCTTGAGAAAGAAGGACGAGGTAATCATGTAGGTACAAATGAACTATCACCACAACCTGAAGCAAGCCCTTTCACCAAGGAGCAAATGGAGATGCTCCAGAAACTACTACAGTCACAATCTGGTTCGTCTTCCAACCACATCATTGGATCCGGAACCTTGGCTCACAAAGGTAATTCTTTGAACGCCTTTACTGTTTGTAAGAAACGTAAAAAACCTTGGATTATGGACTCAGGAGCATCTGATCATATGACGGGAGAGGCAACAATTTTTGATACATATAGCTCATGTCAAAATAATTTAACGGTCCGAATAGTAGATGGTTCACTATGAAAGGTTGCCGGTATAGGTTCAGTTGTGCTGTCTAGGAATCTTATTCTCAACTCTGTTCTCCTTGTTCTTGACTTGGACTGTAATTTATTGTCAATTAGTAAACTCACTAAGGAAAAGAGGTGTGTTACTAATTTTTTCTCCACTCATTGTGAATTTCAGGATTTGGATTTGGGGAAGACGATTGGCAATGCTGAGGAATGCTCTGGACTCTACATCCTTAAGGAACGCCACTATCCACAGGAACAACCTCAAACGGCAATTCGTGGTAGTTCTTTTTTGGTTTCGTGTCAAAATAATGATAAAGCAATTATGTTGTGGCACTATCGCTCAGGTCATTTTAATGTTATGTATCTCAAGCATTTATTTCCTTCATTATTTAAAACTCCAAAACCTTTTGATTGTGAAATCTGTCAATTGTCTAAGCATGTACGGTCCCATTTTCCCATTCAATCCTATAAAGCGTCTCGTCCATTCTCACTAATTCATAGTGATATCTGGGGTCCATCAAGAATAAAAAATGTAACTGGTACTAGGTGGTTTGTCTCATTCATAGATGATCACACTAGATTAACCTGGGTCTTCCTCATGAAAGACAAATCTGAAACAAGCCAAATTTTCAAAAATTTTCAAATTATGATTCAGACACAATTCCAGTCAAAAATCCAAATTCTAAAATCTGATAATGCTCGGGACTATTTCAACTCCATTCTAGGAGAATTTTTAGCCAAAGAAGGGATAGTTCACTTAAGTTCATGTGTTGACACCCCACAACAAAATGGCATCGCTGAACGGAAAAATAGACATTTGTTAGATGTTGCTAGATCGCTAATGTTTTCCACAAATGTTCCACAATTCTTCTGGGGGGAAGCTGTTCTTACAGCAGCCTACCTTATCAATAGGATGCCATCTAGGGTACTACAATTCCAAACTCCTTGTCAACTTCTCCTAAAATCCTTTCCAACTACTCGCCTCATCTCCACCATCCCACCCAAAATTTTCGGGTGTTCTGTCTTTGTTCATATCCATCAACAGTATCGAAGTAAACTTGATCCTAGGTCGCTCAAGTGTATCTTCATTGGGTATTCGTCACATCAAAAAGGGTATAAGTGTTACTCTCCGGTCACAAGGAAATTCATTGGTCATAAAGACCCATATACATGAACCATTTTGACAATTGAAATATGAGATTAAGAAACTAAAATAAGGATTGAAACAAAACTATTTATTAAGATTCATATAGAATTATAATCCTTAATATGAATGATTTCAAATAAGTATTTCATACATAATTGTGGTTTCAAATCTATGGCAATCCTCTCAAATTCAATCTTGATATTCATATGTAAATGAATATTATTTAAAATGAATTTGAGTTAATCCTTCAATGAACATTATCTAATTCCTTAACTTAACTTGGTACAAACTGTTGCGTCCTTGTAAACTCTTCCCGGTCGATAATAGTAGCCTTTACTTGGGGCACAATGAACATCTTGAGAGCATACACACAACTCTTCTAGAGCACAACCCTCATGGACCATTGTCACTCCTTTTATCCTTGGCAGCTAATCTCGATTGGTCACTTCACCAACTTGATGTAAAAAATGCCTTCCTCAATGGTGACTTAACGGAAGAAGTTTACATGGACATTCCTACTGGACTTGAGACAACATTAAATTTCAACAAAGTTTGCAGACTCCGAAAATCCTTGTATGGTCTCAAACAATCTCCCAGGGCCTGGTTTGAACGGTTCACTAAGGCAGTGAAAGGGTACGGTTTTGTTCAATGTCAATCCGATCATACATTATTTGTGAAGCACTCCCTAGGAGGGAAATTGGCAATTATCATTGTTTATGTGGATGACATAATTCTAACAGGTGATCATGAAGAGGAAATTGGCTTACTTAAAAAATTCCTAACAAAGGAATTTGAGGTTAAAGATCTTGGAAACCTTAAGTACTTTCTTGGAATGGAGATTGCTAGGTCAAAGAAAGGTATAGTAGTCTCACAACGTAAATACGTTCTAGACTTACTGAATGAAACAGGGATGCTAGGATGCAAGCCGGCAGAAACTCCTATGGACACAACTATCAAACTGGAAGAAAGTGACGGTAGTGCACCAAGTGATAAAGGGAGATATCAACGTCTTGTGGGAAAACTCATTTATCTTTCTCATACAAGGCCAGACATCGGCTTCTCTGTTAGTGTGGTCAGTCAATTCATGAATAATCCAACCGAAAAACACATGACTGCTGTGATCAGAATATTGAGGTACCTAAAAAGGACACCGGGAAAGGGTCTCTTCTTCCAAAGAACAACAAATAGAAAAATTGAGATTTTTTCAGATGCAGATTGGGCCGGTTCATTGACTGATCGAAGATCAACTTCTGGCTATTGTTCGTTTGTTTGGGGGAACGCGGTTACATGGCGAAGCAAGAAACAGTCAGTGGTAGCCCGTAGTAGTGCTGAGGCAGAATTTCGTGCTATGGCCCTAGGTATCTGTGAGGGAATCTGGTTGAACAGGCTGTTAGAAGAATTACGGGTTCCATCTGAGCATCCCATGGTTTTATACTGCGACAACCAAGCCGCCATCAGTATAGCTAAGAATCCGGTTCATCATGATCGAACTAAACACGTGGAGATAGATCGACACTTTATCAAGGAAAAGATTGAAGAAGGAGTTTTTCAAGTCAGCTACACTCCAACAAACTGCTAAAAGGCTGACATTCTCACAAAAGCTCTAGCTCGAGTTAACTTCGAAGATCTGACGGAAAAATTGGGATTGATTAACATCTACAACGTAGCTTGAGGGGGAGTGTTGGAAATCAAGCTATTGTTAATATAATAATACCAGCTGCATGCTTATATCATTAATATATATTTAATATATATATTAGTTAGTGCTTCTCCATCAGATGCTTTGTTGTAGTGCTCTGCTTAGTTGTATAGGTAGTACCTTCTCATTAGATGCTTTGCTTTCGGCTGCTTTTTATTTCTATATGTTTTCTTTCATGCTGTAGTATCATAATGATGTTGTATCAGCTCTCCTATATAATGGAGCCTTCTCTTCAGGTTTAATACACATTTTTGAATTACAGAGCGTATTAGCTCTTTCAATCACTCTCTCAATATTTCTTTCAAACTGGATTATATAAAGATCATATTAACATCTTATTTATTTGAACAGATGTTGCCAAGTGTTTCATGGTACCAAGAACGCCTGCTCCATCAAACTTCTCTTGGTTCCATGATGATCATAATTCTGATAAGGACTGTGAATTACAACCTATCCAAGCTACCACTACAAGAAAAAGCGTTTTTGGCGACTAAAACTTCATTTTTCGTCGCTGAAAGTAGTAGAATTGGCAACTAAAATGGCGTTAGTCACCAAAATTGAGATCGATTTGTATGACCCATGAAAAGAAGATTGTCTCATACGTGCTTGTTGTCAAAATTTGTCAATGCTTACAATATGAATTTTTGGAGATTTGTTGAGATCTTAAAATTCAGATATATCAATTTTAATGTTGATGCTAAGTAAAGATATATATATATATTTTTTAATTTCTTAAATATATATATATTTTGTGTGTGTGGAAAATTTGTGAGTTCAGGCAATTTCCCTTTTAAGACTTACATGAACACACATTAATAGAGGAACAAAATTATGTGGTATACTGATAAGGAATTTATTAGTTATGTTGTCACGACCCGAACCCGCCCCTATGGGTTAAGGTCATAACCGGCCAGTAATCACGAGATTACCTACGGCCTCAAACCAAACGAGACAAAACTCATCAGAGTAAAGGGGCCAAACGGAAACAAATTTAAAACTTTGTCCATAGAGTCGTGCTTATGTGCACATCATAACATTCCATACATACATATGTTAATAACTCACAACAGAAAGTATAGTAACATAAAGTTCTATATAGACAGAATCATTCAAATCTAAGTCAACCAAAACAAAGCTATATACAGACGTACACCAAAGTCCTCGCCAACATGACAAAATAACATAGAATGGCGGAAGGGCGAAAACGTGTCTCGTGCGTGAGACGCAAAGGCTGACTCTTCAAAACCTTAGTTGTTCCATACAGACTTCACTGGGGCTGGGTTCGGGTTTCTCTTGGCTTACCTACAAACACATGAATGAGCGTGAGCGAAAGCCCAGTGAATAATATCAAATAAAGAATACACATTAGAACAATATACATCAAACGGCCTTGGGCCCAATTTATATTTCTACTAATACATACATACATAGACATATGTAAGTTAAGTAACTGCGGTTCCGAACACATCATACGGCCTCGGGCCCAATTCAATAGTGTCAAACTGTTATTCGTGTCAAATTGCTATTCGTGTCAAACTGGCCTTTGGCCTTTTCAAACTTCCATATCAAACTGGCCTTTAGGCCTTTCAAACTTTCATATCAAACTGGCCTTTAGGCCTTTCAAACTTTCATTTCAAACTGGCCTTTAGGCCTTTCAAACTTTCATTCATGTCAATCTGGCCTCTGGCCCATTCATGCATGTCAAACTTTCATTTATGTCAAACGGCTTTTGGGCCAACCATTTATGTCAATCGGCCTTCGGCCCAATCATTCATGCCAATTAGCCTTCGGCCCACAATCATTTATTCTTGTCAAATCGGCCTTCGACCCAACCATTTATATCAATCGGCCTTCGGCCCAATTATTTATATCAATCGGTTGTCCATAATTCAAACTAGCAAACTTACAAAGAAATAAGCAATTGGACAATTGACAAACTTCAGAACATCGATATTACTCACAGTGATCGGCTCGTGGATTTGTCCTAGAGCTTGACCCTACACATCATATAACACATATGGGTCACAAACGATTCAATTCGTTCTTTAATTTACATATTCCTCTTTAGGCTTCATTCTTATCTCTTTAACTCAATTACAATGCTTAATGCATGCCTAAGAGTGCTCGCAAGTGAAAGAGAACGGAAAATGAAGCACAGAACGATCACACAAAATTTTCAGAAACAGGGTCTCCGCTCGAGCGTGAACTTACCCACTCGAGCGGACCCATGAGGTCTGCAAAAGTACTGGTTATGTCATTTTTACGCTCGAGCGTGGAACTTGGACGCTCGAGCGGAAGTCCATCTTACATAGCTCCCCACTCGAGCGTGGACTTCACCGCTCGAGCAGATATCATGGTCTGCAGAAAATACTGGGAGCACGAAATTCACGCTCGAGCGGCTGGTTTCCCGCTCGAGCGGACCTCAATTTTCTGGGTTTTCCAAATTGTGTTCTTGAGCTCCAATTTGACTTTCAAACAACATTTCTTGCATGCAATGGCTCAAATATCACATATACGCATACTAACATGATACCAATACCAAATTACAATATTAGGAAGCTCAATTTCTTGAATTATCTACATGCATGTCCCAAATTATCTCAACTCATCACCAACATGCTCAAATTCAAACATTCAAGACTTACACTCCCATGATTTGTATATGCATGTGGGAGATGCTCATCATTCCCAACTTAATTGGTGAAGAGGTGGCCAAATACATAGATTTCAAACAAGATTCAACATGGATTATACACATTGTGTTCAAATATGGAAATTCATGGCAATTTCCTACATGCATGCCTCTATTGACTTCAAATACAACAAAATCCACTCAATTCATGCTCTTTATCATCATTTAACTCTGAATTTACAAATTGCAAACAAAAACCCATGATTCAAGGGATGATTACTCACCTAGGAGCCTTAAACACCCAAGTTCTAGCCAATTCTTGAGCTTAATCTTCAAATTTCCAAGCCTTGAGCCAAAATTACACAAGTCTCTCCCTTTCTCTCTCTATAACCGGCCCTCTCTCTAATCTTGAGTCCAAGATCAACCAAAATACAATAAAGGAGAGGAATTGGGGTGTAGTGCTCCTATACAACAAATCCCACTAGGTCCCAATTTAATAATAATAACTATTTGGGCACTAATTCATTAATTAAATCAACTTAACCTGGTCTGAATCAATTTTTCAATTAAACCTCACCGTAGGCTCTAAAAATTATGCCAATCACAATGGCATGACAAATTTTGATTTTGGTGGCCGATAGGGCCTTCAATTTAATCGCCAAAGCAGATAATCAAACAGATATTCCTACGGTGAACAGATAGAAATTCAAAACCACATATTTTCACACAATGGCACATGAAATCATATTAAACACATAATCATACTCAAATTAAGGACCAATTAGCATACTACGGATCAGGGGTATCACACATGTCATGGGAAAATAATCAGTCCACACGTAAAACATTCTGATATATTAACAATTCTAAAATACAAGAATTACCTCCGATGGAAATGTAGTATCTTTTCACCGTGGGCAGAATTTCTTTGACTATTTTTATTTGTAGTTATCTAGTTGATGCCCCCCTTCACTAAAAAAAAAAAAAAAAAAATACTACAAATTAATGATGAAAATTACAGTACCGTTAGAATATTATTAAGTCTTCTTGTCACTCCATTGCTTATTTAACATTTCATATATCTACTTGTATAAAATTAATGGCAAATCATCATAACAATAATGAACATTTATTATAGAAACCTTAAATGCAAAAGGACAAAGGACAATCTCTTCCTACATAGTTGCTCATATTTGGGCTAATAACTTTGGTTGTCTGTCACATGTCATGTAACTTATCCTAATTCTAATTGCACAGACAGATCTCTTTTGAAGGGTGCAACATCCCCAGCTTCGTCACATTAAAAATACAGTCTAAATGATGGCAAGAGATAAATGAACTTTTTCCATAGGATATGGAGCCTCAGTTCTTAGCATCTTTAGGGCCATTCAATATATCTATGGATTTGTCTATATTTATATGGTCAATAGACATTGTAACATTCAGAAAATACATTGGAAAGTAAGTTTTTACCAAACATTTGTAAATACACTGGAAAGTAAGTCTTTACCTTGCATATTGGATATATTGATGGGTGTGTTGAGATGTAGGTAAGTATCTGAAACAGTTGGTTTTACAGAGGCTTTCCTACTGTAGCGTTTGACATATTTATTTGATGCAGGATATTTACCTCCACACAAACTGTCTTGCAATTTTGGCCAACATGGCACCCCATGTCCACCGTTTGAGTGCATATGCATCACAGAGACTCGTTAGCCTCTTTGATATGCTCTCACGCAAGTATGTCTCTTATTGTTTCCATAGAGCAGCCTGATCTATTTTCTTACGTGGAATACTTGATAACTTTGATAGAATCTTTACTTTTATGGGATTTTGATTTGATCATCTTTTTAAAACGTTGTGTGTTAGGTACACTAAATTAGCAGAGCTAAAACATGATAAGATGCGTATAGGGAATGGTGAACCAAGAGGAGACAGTCTTCTAAAAGAGATGGTTGTCACCATAATCGATACCTTTAGCTTCATTACTATTTAGATCTTATCTTACATTTCCAAATTATTTTTCTTCTAAATCAACATATAAATTTCTTGCAGTCAACAGAATTGCATATTTATACTGATTTCCTGAGGATTGTTCCAGAAATATTAAATGCAATACTGACTTACGCTCTTTCACGTAACCCTGAGGTATCATCATCATTATCACTGAGACCATATGCATCTGGATTTGGTTACCCCACCCCTCTCCTCTCATATTGTGGGTATTTTTCATTGTATGGATTGGAGCAGGTTGTATATGCGATTATGCACAGGCAGGAGGTCTTTCAGCCTTTCAGGAATCATCCTCGCTTTAATGAGCTGCTTGAGAAAATTTTTACTGTATGTGCTTGAGAACATTCTTATTGTAGGTTGTATATCCGTCTTTTTCCCTTTATTTTCTTCCCGCATAATCTTTAATTTTTGTAGGTCTTAGATTTTTTCAATAGCCGCATGGATGCCCAAAGAATGAATGGTGAATGGTCGGTGGAGAAAGTCCTCGAAGTCATAATCATCAATTGTCGTTCTTGGCGTGGTAAAGGCATGAAGGTACAAAGCAAATGGTTGTGTTAGTAGGTTTATCCAATAGTGGGATCCTTTTTTATGTTTTTTTTAATCCAATTAACAGATGTTTACTCAATTACGCTTTATATGCTTCTGCCTTAAAAGATGTTATAAAAATATATAAAATGTAATGAAGTGAATTTTACATTTTCAAGTTAGTACCTGTTTTTTTCTCACTTTAGAACATTATTTTCCTGTTGAAAAGACGGAAATAAAGATATGCATGCTGTGGATGGATTAGTTTTTTTTGTGTTGTTGTCTGTAATTTCTAGCATGATGCACTTATTTGTAGATTTTAGTTGATTAAGAATAGCTTTGATTGAATTTTTAAGCATGATTGGGTCTATTAACTAAATATTAGCAACTGAATGGAGACATCTTGAATATCGTTATTTATTCAACCTTTTCATTCATATTTGCATACCACTAAGGCACTAATTTCTTTTTCTTGTCACATTCCCTTTCTGCAGCTCATTCAGTTTTAATCCCAGTAGCCTAAATCTGTTTCCAGTTGATCTGCCTGTAAAAGTAAGTATATTGTTTCCTCAAATGTTTTAAAGATGTCAATCATGAATTCAAGAATTTAATTTTCTTTTCTTTTGCTTTCTTTTTTATTTTTTTTTTGGCTTCATTGATTTTAATGGGCCTGACTGATTGTTCCTCACCCCTTCTTACTCTGCTAGCATTTGTGTTATTCTTTCTAGCTATGAAGCACGGGCACAGGTATGGGTATGGATACGAGTATTGGTACTGAGACGATACAAATACGTTAATACGGTAAAATTCAAAAAAAATAAGGTACAGGTACGACTTGGTATGCTTGTAAAAAAAAATATTTTTAATTTAGATAATGCAATAATTAATTAAATGGTTTAATTTGTTAAGGTCCAACCTATGATTATTATTTAATTCCAAAATTAAAGATATAAATCAAAATTAAATGTCAATATATTAAATAACTTAGAAACCATAGTTTAATTTTAAAATCATGCTAAGCATAAAACAAAAAATAAAAAAGAAAGTCTAGTGAAATGAGTTTTATCTCTGTGGTAGAAGAAAATATTGTTTCAATTGAGGTATGGTACGGCTTGGGTATATACTAGGTACGTCTGGGATGCCAAAAATTAAGAAGAAAAAATTTAGATACGTGTTTCATGCACCCAGTACGTATGTAGAAGTATTATACGAGGTATCATAAGTCGGTAAGTACTCAATACGGGTACAACATATTTTTCGAAGTACCCATACTTCATAGCTTTTCAGATATTAGTACTATGAAAATGATGATGTGTGCCGCATAAAGAAAGAGTTGACTCTCAGAGACATCTTTTTTGTTTGATTTAGTATTGATGTACTATATTGCTTTTAGGTGGTTGCTTACCTTGCTGTCTCTTTTCTTTTTTTTTCTTTTTTTCTTTCTTTTCTGGAGTTATGTTCTATTTTGCATAATTTTGTTAGGATGTTTTTAGAAGAAATTGGAAGAAGTGCTTCTATCATATGCGTCTAACTTTAACAGATGGATATATTTTCCCTTAGCAGCCTACATTGTGCAGCCAGCACCAATTGTTGGTAGTAAGTCACAATTGTGATGAAGAATATGTTTCTGTTATATTTTTCTATAATACATACGGAACAGGAGCTGGAAATAGACCAGCTCATGAGTTGCTGTGGGGGTATGGGGTGGATTTTGTAGTGTGGGATGTTTGGAGGTCTAAAGGTGTCTTCTCAGTGGCTTCATTTTATGGGGGCTTGTAGGGATCTAAAGAACCCCTTTTTATTTATTACAGAAGAAAGATCCAAATTAATAGTGTTTTCTAAATGGCATCGTTACAGAAGGAAGAATACAAATTAATAGTCAACTATATATGGTGGTGACTATCAACACCAATTAATAGTTTGTATTTATATTAATCATCGATGTATCAAATTTATTAGAGAGCTGCTATAAATTATTTTTTGTTTTAAACATTTGTTTATATCACTGATCAATACATGCATGATAAATATAATATAATATATTAGTATTTGCTTTTTCCAATACTTGTCTCTAAATAAAAACGATTAGAAATAAAACTACCCAATAGTCACAAACTTAACTTTTTTCCAAGTATAAAAAGTTTTGTTTTAAAAGTAGACTACCTACCTCCCCTTTGAGGAGTGAATTGGTTGGGTTAGTCAATCGAATTATATTCTGGGTAGTCAAGTGCCACACCCCTTATCCGATCTTCCGGCATTGACATCTCCCTTTGCCTCTGCTCCGATATTGCCATGTAATGAAACCTGTTCATCATCCATTCATTCATTATTTATCAATCTAGACATATAGATTAAAAAATATAGATACTTCTTTTTTCTTCTTTCTTTTCCTTTGGTGGTCTGCATGTTGCTGTGTAACACTGTGGCAGCAGTGTAACACTCGTTTCATCATAACATGACAGATCAGGAGCCTTCAGAAACCTTGGCAATACTGGTTTCATCAGAAGGCTTTTGAAAAGCTATTTTATCACATAGCAGCACACACAGCAGGGGTACTGATTGTGGTTGGTTCTGGATTGAAATTTAATTCACATGAAAGGTTCATTGAGGAAGATAGGAGTTATTGACAATATGGATCAATTTCAGTTGCCATGTTGGTTTCTGCTGTGTGGTACTATATTGGATCTGGAATGGTGGCTGATCCAATTTATTCTATATACACATAAGAATGCTATTGTTTTATTTACAATTTGATAATGATAGTCATTTAATTTGCTAATGTGACCTTTGCTTTTCATGGACATTTTTCATTATTTGTCCAATTTTACCTGACATTATTTCTCTTTTTTTTTGGGTACAGATGGATGAACTCGTGCACAAAGCTAAATTGTACAGGACAAATTGGCACTTTTTGCATTTTTGGAAGGATTATATATTTTTGTATAGATGTATATGGAAAATATTAGGGTAGACTAGTAGTTATATTTTTGGATATACTACTAGTTATATTTTTGGATGGGTGTGTATAGAAAATATTTGGTAGACTACTAGTTATATTTTTGGGTTGATGTACATGGATAAAAATTTAAACATAATAACAAGTACTTGTTATGTTTTAAATTTTTATGCTAGATGAAGTATGTAGTTTGGAATTATTTGTGGATGTAAACTTATAATAGTTGCTGACTTTAATTAAACAGGTTCAGAAATGGTTGATATATGTATTTTGTTGAATGTTGATGATTCAATTTATTTGTTGGTTTGAATGATTTTTGCAAATTACAGATTATATTGAATAAATTGGATGGATTATTATAAATTACAGGTTTATTTTGTTGGATGTTGGCGACCAAAATTTGGTATATTTTTTTATAGTTTTGGCGACCAATTGATTAGTCAGTAAAGATAAGTTATACTTTTGCCGACTAAATACAGTAGTCGGTGTATCACCAAGCACATTTGGCGACTAACTAATTAGTCGTTAAAATTATTAATTTTGGCAACCAAAGAATTTGGTCGCGAATAGGTCTATTGCCGACTAAAGTTTTAGTTGCGCGAACATTTCTTTTGGCGACAAACATGTTTGGTTGTGGAATGTGACAATTGGCGACTAATTATTTTGGTCGTAGAATGTGACAATTGGCAACCAAACTAAGAGGTCGCAGAATGTCACAATTGGCGACCAAAATTTTTTGTCGTGAAATGTTACAATTGGCGACCAAAAATTTTGGTCATTGAATGTGATAATTGGTGACCAAATTTGTTAGTCGTGGAATGTGACAATTGGTGACTAAGATATTTGGTCAGCAAAAGGTGACTTTTCGCGACCAAAATGTTTTAGCGACAAAATGGATTAGTCGCAGTAGTGATATATTTAGCGACCAAAAATTTAGTCGGCAAATCCAACTTTTCCCGACCAACCAAAATTTTGGTCGCGAATTACTTTTGCCGACCCTCAATTGGCGACCAAAGTAGCGACCAAAAAAATTGGTCGCGGATAACTTTTGCCGACTAAAAATAGGCTTTTAGCGACCAATTTTTTTGTTGCCAAAAGTGTTAATTCTTGTAGTGTTCCAGGGAAGCTGGTGGGTGCAACGGTCAAAACTCAGCCTGATAAAGCATGAGAACATGGGTTGAAGTCTGTGATAGGTCTCTTGTATACCTAGTGCACCCCTTCCAACACTTCAGATTAATATGGAGTAAATTGGGTAATGACCTTATTCAGCTTATATCCTTGGGCAACTGTTCAAGGTTTTTAGGTGACCTGAGTCACATTCCAGCATAAAAGTTTATAGGTAAAAAAGTGGCCCACTGCACTAAGTCTGTCTAGAGTGTGACAAACAAATAGAATGTACTTTGAAAGTTAAGATAGATCATAGGAAAATGTAACAGTTAGAATCCCTTTCTCATAAAGTTCAAACCACAGAGCCACAGTACCCTTTTCATTGTCTTAAAGCACATCAATTGGCACAACAAGGAAAATAAGGATCATAGATATATCTCAAGTCTACCTCAGAAATTAGTAACTTGCATGAAAGTCATAATTTGCTTATGAACGTTGCTCAAATACATCATTTATTTGTACTCAAAGTATATACTTCATACATCTTTGATTAAAACGAAATCAGAATTCATACATCCTTTTCTTCCCCAAAAGAAGAAAAGAAAACTAAATGTACCTATAAGTAATTCATATAAGTCTCATGCTGCTCGCCGTCGCTCGACGCCGTCGTTTGCCACTGCTTGATGTCGTCTCACGTTGTCACTGCCATTACTTGACGTCGTTGTCTGCCGCTACTCACTGTCGCTTGATGCCGTTGTCTGCCCTGCTCACAGTTGCGAGAGAGAGAGAGAGAGAGAGAGAGAGAGACAGAGAGAGAGAGAGAGAGAGAGAGAGAGAGATTTTTGGTTCAAAAGATTAGGGATTTGAGACTTAGGAATTTTTGGTTGAGGGGGAAAAACGAAAAGATTTTTTTTTTTTTTTTTGCTACATCAAGTATAACCGTCACAATTGAAAAATTAAGGTAGCGTTTGGTAACGTTTACGTTTTTGGTTTATGTTTACAAAATTTTATAAATTGGTTTTTGTTTATTTTTAGAAAAACATAAATTACAAAAGCGTTTGGTTTGAACAAAATTTTTTAAAAAT